CTGCCTGTGGTACTATTGATCCTGGTAAGTTTTTCTTGAAAAAACAATTATTTCTTGGACTATTGAAAAAAAAACTTTTTGATCTGCTACTAAATAAATCCGATCTTTTTTCTCAATAAATGACGAAAAAGGTTTTCTAGTATATGCCATTCTTAACTTTGAACGGAACCAAGAAACCCAGTGTATTTCATTAATAAAACAAGATTAACAACTTTTGAATTTCCCACACTTACATACTCATTATGTAGGCATCTACGATTATTTAAAGAGAGAAGATTTTTTAAAGACATCTAATATCATAAAAGATGTACCAGAACTTTAAGCCCTTGAACATTTACTTCACTGTCTGTCTATGTTAAACTTAATACCAAAACACTAAATTTTTAACACTAAAATGTATCTAAAATAGTAAGACACGGGTCTTAACGCGACGTTTATTAATGAGTTACATCATGTACTCACGGCTTGACGTTTCGGCTGCGATGCTGTGACCACGGCTGCATCGCGTTAAGACCCATGTCTATTATTTTAGTAAAAATGGAACGCGAAAGTTTAAAATCTAAAATGTATCAATTTCTCTTCACACAGAATACAATCTTGACTCCCGTACCAACAAGTGCTACAAGTTCCATCGAGTACCACGCACATGGTCCCGAGCCTATATGACGTGTATGGCGGAAGGTGGCCATCTCGCCATCATCAACTCCGATACTGAGGCCACCGTCATCAGGGAACTCTTCGCGAAGAACCCAGGAGGTGTCATGCTCGGAAGCTTCTGGAAGGATGTAGCATTCATGGGTTTCCATGACTGGACTGAGCACGGGGACTGGAGGACTATTCAAGGTAAGTAAAAAATAAGTAAGGTGTACCTAGACCACTGTTGTTTTAACAGTTGTAATTAAGGTGTAAATGTTTTCTTATTAGTTACTTAAACCTTTGTTTTGTTACCTGTCATCTGCTTTGCAATGAAGGAAAGACGAACCTTAACTTCGAACTTCTATGTTTTTTTGATTAATTTTGTTGCGGGTTCAATGGCAGTGTAGTGTAACTTTCCCCTGGGACGAAGTTGACCTTCAATGGTTGAGTTTTTATTGACGATCAAGCAGTAGATCCTGGCTGCAGTAGAATTGCAGCGGTGGGAGCGAGAAGTGGGAATAGTCGCATTAACGCATGGTTGATTTCATATTTCAAACCTCTTAGTGAGCACACTCCTTCTTCATCATCCCACTTCAAATCTTCAAAACTCCTATCGTATAGTCAGACTATTCCCTTTTGTTGAAAAATAGCTCTTATTGCTACTCCATAAGATGCCTCGGTATTCAGCTTGATGTGATCTGTGCCTATATTACATCTTCAAAGACAGTTAACCTGTAATTACAAACAGTTCGGTAATTGGTAAACGTCACGACCGCATATGAATTTGGCACAAAGGCTTCTTAGTTCCAAATTAGAGGCGAATTTGACACGTCAATTGTAATTGAATTGATTTGGAAATAAGATAATCTTATGATAATGCCTGTTCAGGAGATAATTTAAAATCCATTGAACCTGATGTTTGTTGTACTTGGAACATTATTAGACTAAGTGACTATCTTATTTATGGAAGATTTCTTATTCTAGGCCTTTTTAAAGCACGTGAACTTGTCTTAAATAATATAAGGCTAGGGAAATTAGGACGATATTAAATCGACTGGTGTTGAGATTTTGTCAAATTCGTACCATATTGACAACATTTCTGGCAAGCGTGGGGGTGAAGCCGAAATCCTTATACTCTGGTAAATTGAAGGGGATCGCCTTCCGAAATAGGTATTGAATGACCTGATGACTGACTGACGCAATCCTTAACTTCCAGGTCAAACCCTGAAGGAAGCAGGCTACGACAAGTTCTCCCCTGGAGAGCCCAACAACGCGACCACCGGTGAATTTTGCGGTGCAGTGTACCGATCCGCCATGTTTGACGACCTCTGGTGCGAGAACCAATACGCCTTCATCTGCGAGAAGAGTCCAGACAGTTTGATGTGTGATGATGAGCATTGATTTGAAAGTTATTATTAATAAAACCTTTTTAAGCACTAGCTTTTGTTTCTACCTAAGACCCCAGTATTGTCAGGGCAAAACAAACGAGTCCAAACTCGATAGGGTTGCATCGTTTTGTTACTTGAAATCCATCATCCGACCCAGCTCTATGGCATTAATATTATTGGAAAAACCTGTTTTTCAAAATTAAATTAGACACAAACACTAAAATATTTGTGGATAGTTTTCGTGGAACAAACAGCATTGTTTTGTCATAATTTAGTTTAGTTTAGTTTTTAGTTTTCAATTAAAGTTAAAAACGATACATCGAATTCAATTTATTCAAAAATAGACGGATTTTGTAAACCGTGCCCAATCTTTAATCTTTGTTCGTAGACGCGATTAAAAAAATATTTTTTGCAGCTCCCAGCCAAGTGATTTTCGTCATAATGATACATTGTTATTAGATGTTATTTAAAAAACAGCAGACGATGTACGAACGACAGCATAAATATCCGAAGTCGATCTTAAATCTTCGAACTCTTCCTACGTTTTTCTGATTAAATTCGTTGCGGGTCCAAATAAACAATCGTCCTTAGAAGAATATCGTTTTCTCCTCTAACAATATCATCATGCGGAAATAATATAGAAATCAAAACTATTAGAAAGGCATCATATACAACTGTATCTATACAGGGTGTGAAAACGGCACTATACATCTTGAAACTATCTATCCCGCTTATCCAACAGAGTTAAAAAAATGTTAACAGAAATAATATGGCCGTCGATTCAGCGTGGAGCGTTTGGTCAATCGCAAAACATCCGTTTAGTGGCCAAATCCTGGATTTGCATCTTAGTAAATAGAAAAAGCATATAATAACATCAGCTCGTACAGCTGATGGTCGATGGGACAGAAAAGTTCTCAAGTGGCGACCCTGGGCCGGGCGGGAGACGTAGCGTGATCTGCCCAAGTGCCCAGGCCTCCCACTAGGTGAACTGACGATATGGTGAAAGTTGCGAGAAGTACCTGGATGCAGGCAGCGCAGGACCGTGGGTTGTGGAAATCCTAAACTCAAAGTATTTTTTTTATTTGCATAGACTATTCGTCAAATATATAAAGTAGTAAATAAAAAGTTTTGTCCACGTATGGTTCTAAAAACTTAAAATATAAGGTATTCGATAGGCTTTTTACACCCTGTATATCTTGACGAGCTGGTCATCACGTTTTTGCTATATCATTTGGAATATAAGGTATAGCCGCTTCACTGGACCATATAATGGGGGCCATAATTTTACCTAAACCATAATACAACTCCCATCAATCGGTTAAAAAAGCGTGACGGGGCTTAAAAATGATGTACGGTGTTTTGTTGTTTCAATGTTTTACAGTAACAAGCCTTGACAAAGTTATTATGTCTCTATTTTTTATCTGTAGCTATAGGTTTAGCGCTCAACTCAGTCAGTGCCTGAGGTATGGAAGCGGCACGATTTTCCTAAAATACAAAAAAAAACTTAAAAATCTAAACCGTGATATTTTTACCTGGTCAAAATTTTATATTAGAGAGATTATAGTGAGGTTTATCGATGTTACAAGGTTTTAGGACACCCTGTATATTATGACGTGACCTAGCATAGAAAATTAAATCTGCCCCCCTAGACAAAACGCACTTTTTGATCGAATCGAAAATCGAATCCGTCAAAACTCCATACAAAAAAGGGTCTTTTCGACCACTTATCGACTGGTTTGCGATTATAATTTGCACTTTGTCTAGACCCACTGAAGCACATTAGAAGTCTCGCTGACGTTCCTAAAACACCAATTTGATCTCAAATCTTGAAGGACATAAAGTCACAATGCGTCAAAGACATTTTTAACTAGCGTTAGAAGGACAAAAGAACAAATACAGATTATGAGGTTAGTCAATTTTATGTAGTTACCAACAAGAATAGCAAAGGCAATAAAAATATATCTATAGTAATATTATAAATGCGAAAGTAACTCTGTCTGTCTGTCTGTCTCGCTTTCACGCTTAAAACACTAAACCGATTTTGATGAAATTTGGCATAGAGATAGTTTGAGTCCCGGGAAAGGACATAGGATAGTTTTTATCCCGGTTTTTGAAACAGGGACGCGCGCGATAAAGTTTTTCTGTGACAGACAAAATTCCACGCAGGCGAAGCCGCGGGCGGAAAGCTAGTACCCAATAAACTAAATACATAGTTCAATGTCTAACAACAAATGAATAGCCTTGTTGCAAACAAATTTGACTGAAGCTTTATTAAAATTTATTCTTTCTCTCCATAATTATTCTGGGATTCTAGGATACGAGATTTTGATCTAACACACAAAATCTGTCATTAAAAAAAGGACACGTTTTTTATATTAATATGTTGATCTATTACTTTCGTCGAAATAAAGCAGAATATGAAATATTTATGCCAAATTATCATGCGGGTCACATTTGTAATATCGCTATGAATGGGCAAACAAACGTTTAATAAAATAAATCATAAACAACGGATTCTGCTTTCATTTTACGATCTGCTTAAATTGCACAGAATAGATTTACTAAGGCTGGGTTGCACCATCTTACTTTGACTGTAACAAACGTCAAAAATCTGTCAAACTCCATACAAAAGTCACTGGTTATCGTTATATTTACGGTCAAAGCTTGGTGGTGTAACTCAGCCTAAGTATTATTATCCAATTTACACGGGACGGGATGCATGGCATCTTTGTAAAAAAGTACCTACAATTTGAAAAATCACTTTAAATGTAACAATTACCTACTGGAATAAACCTGCTTGAAATTCAATCCGGCGACTTGGACTGTGGACCAAGCTAAAAGTTGATCTAGTCACAGGAAGACTTTTTATTCGACATTTTATTGTTGTATGTGATTCATTTATTAAATTGTAAGAGGGCGCCGCGTTGGGACGCCCAATTTATAAGGGGGCACCACGTTGGGACGCCAGACTTGTAGAGGGGAACCTAACCTACAGAGAGAAATGACCAAAACCAATTGTATAGGGCTTTATCTCGTGTTTATTGCTAATCAACCTATGACTAAATTACACAATCAAAGCAGACAACCTCTCAAGTCACGGAATAGTAGTCGGTACAAACAAATTATCACAGTAAAGTTAGGATCGGCATATACATATGAACAAAGCAATACTAATTGCATTGACTAATTAAATATTCAAAGCGAAACATGAGGATCGGTATATGCATTTGAGCCGGATCCAATGGTAAACCATACAATTGTATTTACTTGATAAACTTTATTACAAAAGCGTGAGTAATTCAATTAGAACACAAAACAAGGATCGGTTTATGCATATGATCTAAACTTAATTGAAAACTAAACAATTACGTCTAATTAATAAAGTTCATAACAAAAGCATGTGCAAAGCATAAAACTAGGATCGGCGTATGCATTAGGGCCATATTTAGTACAATAGCATTTACTTAATAAATTTATAGCAAGAAGCGTGAATAATTATCTAAGTCATAAAACCAGGATTGGATTTAGCATTTGAGCTAAGCATGAATGTAAACAATGAGCAAATTCTAATTAGCGTAATTAACTTAGCTACTACAAGACAACAGTTACTATTTCTATTAACTATCTAGTAGGCACGGGAAGCGTGCATGGGACGATACAACGCGATGTCCAGTCAGTTCCGTGTTACGGAAGCAGACCTTACCATCGCGGTGTGTGCGAGTTCAATCCGGCGGGCGCATCGTGTTCCGTGGTACGGAAGCGCGGAGCGTCGCGGACGAACTGACTTCTAGGCCGGCTCGCACGCCTTTTATAGCCAGCCGGTGAGCGCGTGTGACGTACGCGGCGGCGTGCGGGGTCTCGGGGCAGGGTAAACCGGCTGCGCGCGCGCGTAGACCTCGCTGTGACGTAGTGGCAGGCTCGGCGCTTGTCGCTCGAAGTAAATAAAAGGGCGCGCCGTGTTACAGACTCCCCCTCTGGCTCCGAAGTCGTCCCGACGAGGAAGCCAGGACTGGTGTGGATGACGGCGTTCCATCACACGATGTGGCTCGGGAAGTCATCTTCTTCAGCCGACCACGCTCACGCATGGCACGGCGGAGGTGGCTCGGGAGGTCATCTTCTTCAGCCGACCACGCTCACGCATGGCACGGCGGAGGTGGCTCGGGAGGTCATCTTCTTCAGCCGACCACGCTCACGCATGGCACGGCGGAGGTGGCTCGGGAGGTCATCTTCTTCAGCCGACCACGCTCACGCATGGCACGGCGGAGGTGGCTCGGGAGGTCATCTTCTTCAGCCGACCACGCTCACGCATGGCACGGCGGAGGTGGCTCGGGAGGTCATCTTCTTCAGCCGACCACGCTCACGCATGGCACGGCGGAGGTGGCTCGGGAGGTCATCTTCTTCAGCCGACCACGCTCACGCATGGCACGGCGGAGGTGGCTCGGGAGGTCATCTTCTTCAGCCGACCACGCTCACGCATGGCACGGCGGAGGTGGCTCGGGAGGTCATCTTCTTCAGCCGACCACGCTCACGCATGGCACGGCGGAGGTGGCTCGGGAGGTCATCTTCTTCAGCCGACCACGCTCACGCATGGCTCGGCGGAGGTGGCTCGGGAGGTCATCTTCTTCAGCCGACCACGCTCACGCATGGCTCGGCGGATGTGGCTCGGGACACCACCATAGGCTGTCTGGCCACGCTCACGCATGGCACTGCGGAGGTGGCTCGGGAAGTCATCTTCTTCTGCTGACCACGCTCACGCATGGCTGCGCGGAGGTGGCTTGGGAAGTCATCTTCTTCAGCCGACCACGCTCACGCATGGCAAGGCGGAGGTGGCTCGGGAGGCACCACCGTAGGCTGGCTGGACTGGGCACAGGCGCCGTCTCAGCGCTCTGGAGCAGGTGGGGCGCTGTCTCAGCGCTCTGGAACAGGCGGAGCGCTGACGAGTGGTACAGGCCCAGGCGCTGGTCAGGAACATTGGTGTCTGCAATTTCAAAGAGCTAGTCCATGACTTCGAAACATCATATAGGGCCTTGGTGCTGAGCCCTGAGTACAGTTGCCACGAAAACCCTCAGGCGTTCTCAAACTTCTCCCGTAAGGAATAATTTCCTCCCTCCCCCTGTATCCAAACAGGGCTGATGTGACCGAAGAGCTTCTTCCCTCCCCCTGTATCCAAACAGGGCTGATGACATGGCTACATGTATCAGAGTTTGAGTTTTTCGGTGCTGTTAACCTTCATCCCTAATACTGGTACCATTGTAAGCCCGCTTGCAACTTCCGAACTCATCATGGAAGGTTGAGGTGACTTTGGAAATCCAGGTGTGGTTACCATAGGGGAAACAATTCGCGGAAGGGCAAATTCCTCCTTCAGCTTTTCGCTGCTATTAACCTTCATCCCTGACGGCACCACTATAAGCCCGCTTGCAACTTCCGAACTCATGGAAGGTTGAGGTGACTTGAAATTCAAGTGTGGTTGCCATAGAGGAAAACATTTCGCAGAAGGGCAAATTCCTCCTTCATCTTTTCAAATTATATCTTGGATGGACTCCTCCTGTTACTCGTGGACAATAGAAGGGTCTTCCAAATCTTTGGCGGCCTGTGGTAGTACCTACCACGCATGACGAATCTGCCAAAGTAGGTACTCGTGTTACGAGTCTAGCCTATCTTAATTAGCCTAACCCTATCTCGACTAATACCTAACTCGTGAGACTAAGAGAGCAGGTTGTCTGTGCGGTTTTGGTCTTAAATGATAAGTTTAGGTTCGTGCCTCGATGGGACCCAGTTTATTAGAGGGCCCCACACGTTGGGACGCCAGTTTGTAGAGGGCGCNGTGGTAGTGGCGGGAAAGCGCGTACGCTCCAATACACTCACACACACATAGGCACGGTCATTGCGTTGCGTGGCGCGCTGTACATTGCGGGCTGCGGAATATTGTATTTTTTTTAATCATAAAAATAAAAAAATATTTCCCACCAATAATATTTTGTAATATTACTTGGTTGGGTGTACAGAAGGCGTAGTTTCAGTCTTCGTGATAGGTTTTTTTACACCCTGTATACCCGTTGCGGCGAGCGGGGTCTCGGGGCAGGGCAGTAAACCGGCTGCGCGCGCGCGTAGACCTTGCTGTGACGTAGTGGCAGGCTCGGCGCTGGTCGCTCGAAGTAAACAAAGGGGCGCGTCGTGTTACAGACTCCCCCTCTGGCTCCGAAGACGTCCCGACGAGAGAGCCAGGACTGGTGTGGATGACGGCTGGAAGGTCATCTTCTTCGGCCGCCCACGCTCACGCATGGCACGGCGGAGGTGGCTTGAAGCATCACCGTAGGCTGGCTGACCATGCTCGCGCATGGCACGCCGGGGTGGCTCGGGAGGTCATCTTCTTCAGCCGACCACGCTCACGCATGGCACGGCCTCTGGTTGACCACGCTTACGCATGGCACTGCGGAGATGGCACGGGGCATGAGCGCTGTCTCAGCGCTTTGGGACAGGCGGAGCGCTGACGAGTGGTACAGGCCCAGGCAATGGTCAGGAGCAATGGGGTCTGCAATTTCAAAGAAGTATGTCCATGATTTCGAAACAACAAATGGGGTTCGTCGTGCCTTGGTGCTGACAATGCGTCGAACCCCTTACGAAAGCTGCTAAAACATGGGAAGTTACTGATGAAGCTTTATTTATGATAATACCCAGTTGGTCCTAATTAACATCGTCAGGCGTTCTCAGACCTCTCCCGAGAGTCATCTAAGTAGGACCATGTTTAGTTGGTGTGTATAAATTCGTAGTAGTCCCGAAGAGTTTCCTCCCTCCCCCTGTGTCCAACCTAGGCTGGACATGGCTACATGTATCTGAATTTAAGGTTATTTTGTTGTTAACCTTCATCCCTAATAGTGGCACCACTCTAAGCCCGCTTGCAACTTCCGAACTCATCATGGAAGGTTGAGGTGACTTTTGGATTCATGCGCGGCTGCCATAGGGGAACAATAGGTTTATGATTAATATCTTACCAACTTTTGGTAGTAGGCTTACCATTGGGTTTTTTGCGATGTTATTGTTCTTTCTCACATGACGCATCAGTTGACGGGCTGTGATTCTTGGGTTCGAAAAGGAGGGTTAGCTCAGGGGAAAGGTCCGTTACCTCATCATATTCAGATACAATTGTATTTACTTGATAAACTTTATTACAAAAGCGTGAGTAATTCAATTAGAACACAAAACAAGGATCGGTTTATGCATATGATCTAAACTTAATTGAAAACTAAACAATTACGTCTAATTAATAAAGTTCATAACAAAAGCATGTGGAAAGCATAAAACTAGGATCGGCGTATGCATTAGGGCCATATTTAGTACAATAGCATTTACTTAATAAATTTATAGCAAGAAGCGTGAATAATTATCTAAGTCATAAAACCAGGATTGGATTTAGCATTTGAGCTAAGCATGAATGTAAACAATGAGCAAATTCTAATTAGCGTAATTAACTTAGCTACTACAAGACAACAGTTACTATTTCTATTAACTATCTAGTAGGCACGGGAAGCGTGCATGGGACGATACAACGCGATGTCCAGTCAGTTCCGTGTTACGGAAGCAGACCTTACCATCGCGGTGTGTGCGAGTTCAATCCGGCGGGCGCATCGTGTCGTGTTCCGTGGTACGGAAGCGCGGAGCGTCGCGGACGAACTGACTTCTAGGCCGGCTCGCACGCCTTTTATAGCCAGCCGGTGAGCGCGTGTGACGTACGCGGCGGCGTGCGGGGTCTCGGGGCAGGGTAAACCGGCTGCGCGCGCGCGTAGTCCTCGCTATGACGTAGTGGCAGGCTCGGCGCTTGTCGCTCGAAGTAAATAAAAGGGCGCGCCGTGTTACAAAATTAATTTGAAAATTGGAAAAAAGCACGGTGTTTGAAGTTTTTTCGTTTTTTTTTTGGAAAATGTCATCAAAACTACTGGAGGTGTAGTTTTGAAGGTGAACTACTGAACTACAGTGTTGAGCATGGAACCAAATATAAGTTACAAAACTCTACCAATAGAAATGGTTTCTTACAAAACAGCAAAGGTTTTTCAGCGAAGTGCTATTTTCCAAAACAGCGTTGATTATTGAACAAGCGTTTCGTTAAGCGGAAAACCGCATTAAATATTTATTGGCACAAGATTTTAGGGCGACTGACCAGAGAGAAGAATCTGTTCAGGAAAAATAACAAATAATTTTCTTAGAGCCTAGATTTTGGCGAGATACTACGTGTCTAGATTAAGAATGACTGAAATACTGTTATTAATCCAGCAGGCGCTTTGTATATTGATAAGATAAAACCTCATTGGGAACTCGGGAATTGGCTTTAGTATTCAGGAAGAATAATATGATTTTCGCGACAATAGACCGACGGATCGGTATTGGACTTCGAGATTCAAGGAATGCTATTGATCGATCCCCGTCAACCGATATGCTCTTGTGGTGAACTCACTCCTAACAAATTATTGTCACTTTATCTATACTGGGATATAGAGCATGCTTTATAAGGTCAGGTAACAGGAATTTCGAGTTAAGTCACTTTCATTCTAAGGGTGCGATATGAAGGTATTTTAGATGACTCTAATCTTGTTTAATGTATTTTCTGTATCTAATTGAAAAAGAAAAGCTAAGTTTCTTCCACCACTTCTTCTCAGCACCAGCCCCTAAAAATGTTGTCCCGAAATAGTGGTAAGGTAAGCTATACAGGGTGGGAATGATAAGTGATCTCACTCACACATTATTTATTTAACGAGATACGTTCTCTGTCCTTAACTAAGTGATGTTCATTGTAATAAATCGTTCGCTTGTTCGTTTCAGCCAATTGACGTCCACTGCTGGACAAAGGCCTCTCCCAAGGTTTTCCATAATGAACGGTCCTGCGCTGCCCGTATCCAGGCTCTTCCCGCAACCTTTACCAGATCGTCGGTCCAGCTAGTAAGAGGCCTGCCCACGCTACGTCTTCCAGCTCGTGGTCGCCACTCGAGAGCTTTCTGCCGTAATAAATGTTTCAATCTTTCTTTCTATTATTTCTAAACTATACAACATATCGAAAAACTGGCTCCATGAGCTCTTTCACCTCTTTCCTCTCTTTGGGACGAATATTGGAAAAATGTTTAGTTGGACTACATTTTTTTCCCCATGTCCGATGCCAGTGGGGGACAAATAGTGAGGGACAGACGATACTCTATTATTTTCAGTTCTTGTCCTTAACTAAGCGATGTTCATCGTGATAAATCGTTCGTTCGTTCGTTTCAGCCGAATGACGTCCACTGCTGGACAAAGGCCTTTCCCAAGGTTTTCCATAATGAACGGTCCTGCGCTGCCCGCATCCAGGCTCTTCCCGCGACCTTTACCAGATCGTCGGTCCACCTAGTAGGAGGCCTGCCCACGCTACGTCTTCCAGCTCATGGTCGCCACTCGAGAGCTTTCTGCCGTAATAAATGTTTCTTTCTATTATTTCTAAACTATACAACATATCGAAAAACTGGCTCCACGAGCTCTTTCACCTCTTTCCTCTCTTTGGGACGAATATTGGAAAAATGTTTAGTTGGACTAACTTTTTTTCCAATGTCCGATGCCAGTGGGGGACAAATAGTGAGGGACAGACGATACTCTATTATTTTCAGTTCTTGTCCTTAACTAAGTGATATTCAGCGTGATAAATCGTTCGTTCGTTCGTTTCAGCCGAATGACGTCCACTGCTGGACAAAGGCCTTTCCCAAGGTTTTCCATAATGAACGGTCCTGCGCTGCCCGCATCCAGGCTCTTCCCGCGACCTTTACCAGATCGTCGGTCCACCTAGTAGGAGGCCTGCCCACGCTACGTCTTCCAGCTCATGGTCGCCACTCGAGAGCTTTGTGCCGTAATAAATGTTTCAATCTTTCTTTCTATTATTTCTAAACTATACAAGATATCGAAAAACTGGCTTCACGAGCACTTTCAGCTCTTTCTTCTCTTTGGGACGAATATTGGAAAAATGTTTAGTTGGACTAACGTTTTTTCCCGATGTCCGATGCCAGTGGGGGACAAATAGTGAGGGACAGACTATACACGGTTATTTCCAGTTCTTCCCAAACACTATTTGTTAAGAGACCGAGAATGCACCGCACATTTGTTTTCACAGCAAGATATGTGGCCTCGTTCGTATTGTGGTTGGCAAAAGGATGGTTTTCGTCTGCAGTTTTGTAGCTGTTAGATTCGTGGATATACACTCGATACTAATATAAAAGGTGTTCTTGAAAACAGGACAAAACAAAGATGTTTATTTTGAACGTCGTTTTAAGCTGTCAGGCAATGTAACCTTGGCATTGTGGTTAGGAGTTGAACATTTTTGCCCCAGTTTTTTTGCTCGATTCTCAAGATGCAGAATGGTTGAATCAAACTAATAATTATCTCAAAGAGAAATAATTCCTAACCTGAAGTTATCTTAGTCCATTTTAATGAGGGTTTTCGAGAATGAAAGATCCGCTAGATGGCGGGACGTGGATGTGGGGTCTGACTGCTGCGTGATTGGTGGATTTTGACATATCTGTCAATGTCATGTCAATAATAACCAATCATGCAGCATTTGGACCTCGCGTCTACGTATTGTCATCTGGCGGATTTTTCATTCGCAAAAACCCTTATTGAGTCATGTCAACACACCACTGGCGTTTAAGTTTGATAGTTTTAACATTAGGTATGTTACCAATACAGACAACAGCATTTACTCTACATTTTCGTTGCAATATCGCCCTTATTACAACTAAATTAAGACCATAGTATTTTAGTAGGCAACTGAATGTAGGTACTTATAAAGGCTCAGATGCTAAAAA